ATTAGCCCGATGCAAAGCAATATCCTGCAAGATGATTGCTGGTTCTGAGATTATGAAGGAGGAACCAGGCAATCACTCTACCCTACTTGGATGGCATGGCAGGGGTGGGGCTGGGGGGGGGGAGCTGGGCATGGTGTGCATCCCTCGACTCAAGGCTGTTCAAAGCGAAAAGCTCAAGATGCAATGCCCCAACCACGTTCGGAGTGTGTACGAATTTGGAATGCATATGCATTTTGTTGGGAGGTATTCAAAGGAAAACCAAAGGGCAACTAAAAGGAAACAAGCAGACATCAAAAGAAAATACACCATCTTTAGAAGGCCCATCTTTGAGAATGGCACATGTTGTTTCTTGCGATTGATTGATTAGACTTGGCCCTGCTCCAAAAAGCACTGGAATAGCGTGGGCAAGAAGCTGGCTATATGAACCAACCTCAACAATTCGACGATACGGAAAAAATGGGCTTTGACGTGTATTCCCAGAGCATAACACTAGCTGAGACCTGCGCCGCCGGCACTGTCTCATCGTCGCTGACAGGTTCCTGCCGTTCTGGGAAAGACTGGGTCTGCACCATGGGAAGCGGGCCAACTTTGAATTGTCTCATCTTAAACATATCTCTCGTGTACACCGCAGGTGACATGTCGCCGCTGGCCCTTGGCGGGTTTTTAATCTTGTACCTGTGTTTGACAAAGACATGTCAGTAGTCAAGCTTTTTCTTTGTTGCCTCTCCTTGATATGATGCATGTTCAACGAAGCATTGCTCTGCAGTCACTCATCTTGATCTGACTGACCACAGCCTTGCTGGAACCTTGTGAGTGTTTCAATTCAATGATTCATATTGCTTCATTTTGCTTTGTCGATGCAAGCCGCGGTCAAACTATGCATTCCATAACGGGCACTGCACAATTTGTAAGTTCCCTGCTGTTGTCGGACATTTGGTGAGTCCCACATGTCCTTTTGACATTGATCACAGACTACCAGACCTTCCACAGAACATCATATGCTTGCTGATTTGAATCCCTGAACACCTTGATAATACCGTCACTTTATATTCCAGCATGAGTATTTCACTGCCATACTCGCTTAAACAATGGTCAGTACAAACAAGGTAATTCAAAACAGCACTGGAAATCAAACTAAACCCGAATCGAGGCATCCATGTAAACAGCCGCATGGGTGAAGCTTTAGCTACCGCTACAAGCATTTAAGTCCAAAGGTTCTTTTTGTTTAACTACATCATCCACCCTTGGTTAGTGTGCTTGAGATAACCAAAGGGAGCCCTACCACAGGCGGATTTGCTGCCTGCGCTGCCGGCTGGGACAACTGGATGGTAGCAGCCTGACGTTCCCAGAGCTCCTTCTGATGCTCCTAGCCGGGTGCCGCAGCGCTGGTAGGTGGACGCCATACAAGTAATTTTCCTGGAGACCACTACTGGCTTCTTTTCCGAAGGATTCGGACATGAAATGTGAACCGCTTGAACACCTAACTGAATGGTCTAAAGAGCGATTTGAGTTGGGGCGCTAAATAGTGGTCACTGGTCCATGCTAAGTAGCCAACAGCGCCCGCCAGCACCAATATGTATGTGTGACATGTGTGTGTGTGTGGGCACCGGCAATGGTGCTTCGTGGCCGCAAAAATACCCCTTGGTCACCGTTCTTCGCTTGCGGTTTGCTCCAAAGTTGGTGGGGGTGTTGCTTTGGTTCCGCTTGGTCGATAGCTGCTGTCACTCGGCAGAGCCCCTGCGACAGAGCCCTTAAGAGGCAAACGTGGAACCTTCGAAGATGACAGCAGGAGCAGGAAACTGCTTTGAGACTGTTCGCTAATCTCAGCATACATACTGACATCCGCTTGTTTGTCAAGCCTTGGGAGACCTTCGCGCTTGGATTCCATCTATGTTGGTTGCCCAGTCGCGGCCTTTTCTTTTGCTAGTTCGCAAAGTACTTCCGTGGATTGGCCCAAAAGAAGTCCGTTTTCCCCAAATTGAAAGTCCCAAGCAAAAAGCCCAGGAACTTGGGAAGTCAGTTGATTCTCGCTGAAGATAAAACGCCTCTGCCCAAAGCTCAACCAGTCGGAACCTGGCGAATGCCGCAACACTCGGTGTCTCCTCTGTGATCTGCTGCTCGATCGTGTCGAACGTGACAAAGCGCCAGATGAAGATCCTTGGGACAGGGTCTGCCTCTTGACCTGATCCCTTGCAAACAGTTGCACTTATTTTGATGGGACATGTTTAAGTTCTTCTGAACTGGGTACGGGGGACAGTCAAGTGAAAACAGCACAACCGGTAATTGATATAAATTGATCAACGGAGAACCGAGCGGTTCTTTCATGTGCAACACATGCGAAGGTGACAATGCCTCTGCACACCGATTTGGGGACGACCCAAAACCGATACCCTCATAAGCCTGGCCGTTGCTGAGCATGCGCAATATCAGCGTGGACTAAAAATCCTGGGCTGATAGGCACACAACTGGATGTCAGCCATCTATTGGGATTCATATGCCTGGGGCAACATAGGCACAAGATCTTTAGAGTTCCAGCGCGAGATACTCAGAGGATCGAGTGCATGGCCCGAAAAAGTCCAAACTTCTTATCTTAGCACTAAATTGGTCCAAACCCAAAAGTCCTGGGGCCAGCGACTTCTTCATCTGCCCGGGCCGGCGCACACGGCCCATGGCCTAGCACGAGACTCGTGAGGCCGAGGGAAGCGTCTAGCTTGGCCAAACTTTCTTGCTGGTGCTTGCTGGTGAGGAATGACAACGAGTGCGGGTGTTGGTTAAACGAACCGGTTTGGGGAATCCCGAATAAGGGAGGGCAACCATAGGATGGATGGTCTCTCGCGGGGTCATTCCATCTCTCATTCCCTGCTGAGAACCAGCAAGTATTGGGGAGATAGGCCCAGATTCTGGGGTGTGGGGCAGCTTTAAAAGGAGATTCGGTTCTAGGGGGGTCCTAGGCTGTTGGAGATATAACAGGGTGTTTATTTTGTGGGTCCCCCCTTTTCTAGCGGTTTTAAAGGGAAACAAAAAGGAACACCGGACTGCTAGGCACAACCTTCAAAAACACATCCCCGTATAAACTGTCAAATGGATACCGGCATGCCTGTGTATGTGTGTGCCTTTTTGCCTGCTTCGTTTGGAGGCTTGGTTGCATTGAAGTAGGCTTGCATTGGCTTGTAGGCAGATTATGCCATGGGACACGTGCTCTCTCAAAATATGTGCACAGCCTTTTTGCATGCTTGCGAAACGCATGGCCTACAAGCATATTGTCCATAATGCCTTTGGCTCGCACGTTCTCTCCTAGTTGGATTGACTTGATCAAGTAGATCCGTCTCCGTGCGAGACTTGGCAACATACTTATCCTCTGCTCCAACAGCGGGATCCACATGATGGTCTCTACGACTCCGCACTGGCGACTTTGTGCAAGCTGCTTGCCATTTTTGCCTGTGAAGACCGCAGGCTGCGACACTCCAACAGCCCAAAATCTCAGCCCTAAGGATCCTAAGGATCCTGATAGGTCGGCCGAGCCGAGAAGTTGCTCAGGGTGATATGAGAAGTGTCCCGGGTCTTCCTTATGAAGTCCCAGACAACAGGAAGTGAAACATATCCAAGCGCATGTGAAACATGTCATCCTGCATGGCTTGCGGCGGAACAGCAGGCATGGCCTCAGCTGCGTTTGCCAGCATTGCAGCTTGTTTCCTGTTCTCGTCCTTTCATGCAGGCACTAATAGAGCGCGACACGCTTGCTGGTACTGGTGAGGATGAGGATGAGGATAAGGATGAGGATAAGGATGAGGACAAGGGTGAGGATGATGATGATGATGATGGTGGTGGTGGTGGTGGTGGTGGTTGTGGTGGTGGTGGTGGTGATGGCGAGGACAAAGATGACGATGACCGGATTGAGCACGTTAAAACTGGGCAAACAGTGCTGAAGAAACAATACATGTTTTGTAAATTCCAGCTAAAACAAGTTGTCACTGTTCCAGTGCTGCTTCAGCTAGTCGTGCTTTGATGCTAACGATCCAACACCTACAGTACAACAGGTGGATTTTGCACCTATAAGCCCTGATGCAGCCACAATAAGAAGCCTCATGCTATATCTGGTGCTCTCGCCATTTGCGAGGTTCACGATGTTGAACGGCAACCCATTGGGCTTGTGGCAGGGGCTTTCAAGCTCAACAGCCGGAACGCCATGCCCAAATACAGAACACTCAGGTGCTCATGGCCAACGCCGCACCATCCGCGGTCTGTTTGAGGCATCTTGAAATGTCAGGTTGACATCTGAAACTCTCTGAAGTCAGAACTGCTAGCCCGCGCAAAACCTCGTGCCAGCAGAGGCAGGAGCTAACAAGTTTTGATTCCAGATCTGAGAAAATCAAGCAGCAGGCTTGTGCAAAACCCTTTTCATGGCACCAAAGAGAGGTGGCTCCAGCCCTGCATAACACCCTCTCGTCGGCCATTTTCTTCCCGAGCATGCGAGGATTGACCAGCGCTAAAAGCACATCGGAACCTCAACCGTGCTGTTCTTCGACCGGCACAGCCGAATTGATTCTTCTGCGAAAGACTGGCCGCTGTGAATGTGTTGCATAACACATTTCAATCGGCATGCGCACAAACACACACACACACAAACACACAGACATGTGTAAATGCATATATATATATATATATATTTGTATACACACATACACATACAAATGCACATAAACACACGTTGACATATTAACATGTTCTCATCTGCGTACGACAATACCAGGCAAGCACCAAACATCCAACATGCCGTAAAATAATTCTTCTCAACGAAGGTCATGGCACCGATTGATTCCAACGGCCAATCCTCAGCTGAGGTCCCGTCAGGGCTGTTGACAAAGGCTTGGTTCCTGATCCGTGAACCTTCCGGTTCCGAGTGGACTGGCCAAAAAAATCCTGGATTTTATCTATCTGCCACTAACATGGTCCAACCTCAAAAAGTGACTAAAGTCCAGGAAATCTGGAAGTGAGTCGTAATCTAAACCACCAAAATCGCAAACAGAGTCACCACATCCTTTGGGAGCCCAGGTAGCGCCGGGACATAAATGGGGAGCCTGCATACCTCACCGTGGCACCTTCACTAGCACGGTGCGCGGGCTCTTCTGCTCAAAGGGTCGGTAGGGCGACATGGGCACCACCTTTCCTGAGTCATATCCAACTATCCAACTTTCTCTCAAACCACATGGAGCGACATACGACAATTGGTTTTCAGTTCGCCAACCATCACTTTCCGCAACCAACCCAAGACTCAATTCATCCGAGTTGCGCACTGGAGGTCGTGCTGGGGTAGGGTCCCGCATGTTCAAGGGCCTTCTGGGGCTTTGCAGTGGCCGGACTAGGCGGGGTTGCAGCACCGGCGACGTGGGCTGCCGAAATGCCAAAGGCTGGCGTCGCTCGCGCTCGGGGCTGGGCGGACGTCGGGGCACCGCCGTCTTGGCGCGGTCCAGCCGCAGCTCGGGGCGAGACATACTCTTGGCCATCTCTGCGACCTGCTCAAAAGGGCTCAGTGAGTTCTCTTTGCTTCCTCTCTTTACAACACCCGCACATTTCATTGAAAGAGCTCTTGCCCTGAAAAACAATCAACGAGACACCCACACACACACACACACTCTCTCAGTCACTCAGTCACTCAGTCACTCAGTCACCCAGTCACTCAGTCAATCACTCACTCAGTCACTCACTCAGTCACTCAGTCACTCAGTCACTCAGTCACTCAGTCACTCAGTCACTCAGTCACTCAGTCACTCACTCAGTCACTCACTCACTCAGTCACTCAGTCACTCAGTCACTCAGTCACTCAGTCACTCAGTCACTCAGTCACTCAGTCACTCACTCAGTCACTCAGTCACTCAGTCACTCACTCACTCAGTCACTCACTCAGTCACTCACTCACTCACTCACTCACTCACTCACTCACTCACTCACTCACTCACTCACTCACTCACTCACTCACTCACTCACTCACTCACTCACTCACTCACGCACCACACACATATAAATGTAGACTCGGGGTCAGCACAAAAAACGCGACCACCGTCCCACCTTCGGCACGTTGCACAAGTTGGACGCCAGGGGTACTACCGCGGGCTTCTCCGCCGATTTCGGGCTGTGCATGTCGAGCCAGGCGTGTCTCAGCCTCAGCTTCGGGAAGGAATTGAGCGCGGCAAGTCTGTGCAAACCGTAGCTACCTCAGCTTGTGCCCTCAAACTAAATATCCTTATAATAGCCCTCACCTGTGGCTCCACACTATTTCGCAACAGCGAGACCATTTGCTCAAATGACGCAAATGCCAAGTTTGCAAGCCCGTAAGCCACGGTCAATTTTACGTGTTTCGCCAAAAGGATATAGGAATTTCGGAGCGAACCCCAGTGGTTTTCGTGAGGAATGCGGGACAACCCGCTTCTTGTCCTCCTGGACCAGCAGTAGACTACCAATATTGTCAACTCTCCTCCAAGCTTTCCCAAAAGCGTGGCGAAGCGAAAGCGCGTAACGAGAAGTGACAAATGAAAGCGGGCGATCGACTTTCAAGTGCGACGAGAACAACAGGTGGCCAGGCGGCAGACAAACCAGACGGCCACACAAGCACATGCAAGGAAACAAGCAAAAGCAAACAGAAACACATTAACAACGACAAACAGACGCTTTGTCAGTCAAACACTCAATTGGAAACTCCTTCACAGGCAAAGACATCTATGATCAGGGGGAAAAAACACACACATAAAGACCGCAACGACAAGGCGCAGAAGGCGAACGTAGCAACCACCCAATGACCCAGAGAGCCAAAGCCTTCTCCGGGCAACTAGAAATGGACCAAGGAAAAGCTGAAGAAACTAAAAGCTCAGAACCCGGTCGATTTGCTTTGGGCAAGTGAGGCACACATAGCCGTGGCTCAAAAACAGGTTTCCCCAAATGGCAGTTTGGTAAATGGAACAACTAAAAACTGCGGTTTGCCCTAGCTGTTTCATTTTGAGCCACGCCCACATCCAGCTCAAGTTCACTGCCACGCAGCACTTCCGGGAGGTCAGCTCGGCTCTGTGGTGGGCGAACCAGCATGCGGTGCACTAAGTGGCAGGCCTCGTTGGAGAACCACGGGGGGTACGGGAACTCCGCCTGGCATGACATCTCGGAACCTCTGCGGAGGGGTTGGTTACAGGAACATCTACAGGCAATGGCTCGCTCCACAACAACGGGATGACGGGATCAGAAGCTGCTTTCCTGTAGAACTTCCTGTTTCCCCCGCCCTTTGAGCGAAACTGGTTTCTGATAATTCCCCAACGTAAATACCAACAAACAATGGATGCCCATGGCTTCAAAGTGGTGCGAAACGGATTCTGTCCATCCACAGTACAGTTCTTTGAATACGGGCCTGTCTTGTACTGGAGTTGGTGGCTTTCAGGGAAACCAAGAGGACAACCACCATTTTGGCAGGTCCACTAAAAAAAAAAACAACCCATATGGCTGCACACCTTCCTTCAGAATGCACTTTGCAAAACTTGCAAGAAAGTCTGCTTCGGATTCAAAAGCTCTTTTTGATACAACTCCTTGCCACATACCCATAGCGAAAATGGCGCCCCTGCAAAATTCCCGCAGAAGCCACCAAATGGGTGGAGTGTAATATTTCTGCCAGGGTCTAGGCCCAGGGGGCCTGAAAAGGAGAGGAGGGAATGTGCCATGGAAAGTAGATCAATCTCCAGTCTGCATCCAGATTCAGATAGAAATCCAGCCTTGTTCGTGATTGCAGTACATTCTGCACCTTGACATGGCTAGCAGAACACAAACACCGGTTGACAAACGAAACCGCGCAGGTGCCAGCCTCAGTTGCCCAAGGTTAAGCTTTGGAACCTTGACTAAGTATGGGCCAAACCAGGGAAAGGTAACGGTCAAGGGCCGGCTTTGGACAACTACACAGTTAGTTCCCATTGCTGAAGTTGAATGGATCTCACGTTCCTGAAGTGTAAACTGACAGCCTCGGGATTCGGATCATCGAGAAAAACCAAGTCAAAACAGAAGACACATCATGTGCTCGCGGACCCAAGAAGGGCTCGTCTTTTTTAGAGTTGGTAACCCTGTTTTGGGTGGTTTTAGTGGGAACCCCAAAGGCAAACCACCCATGTTGGGGGGTCCCCCTTCCAATCAAAGACAAAGCCAACTGTAAAGCCAACTGGAAATCGCGTTCTTGAGCTCTTCTGGAAAGAGAACTCAGGTAACATGGCCTGGTCGAACTTCGACACCCAGCTATCACCCGTCCCCAACCTTGTGCACCCTTTGCTGAAAGGTTTTGGAGTCCACGCTCGGGTACTGGAAGGGGGTGTGCCCAGTCAAGATCTCGTACAGCAATACCTCAGCTTCGCATCTCCTGTTCAACGCGTTGCCCGCTGGCCGGAAGACGGCATACGTGGCACACCTCTCAGTTGAAGCCACTTTGGTTCAGCATGCTAGTCCGAGGCGACAAGCCCCAGATACGGCTTCTTGTGCGAATGCACACACATGCGGCCACGTGAAGCAGACACAACCATGACGGAGCATCAAGAAAACCAATCAACATGAAAGTCAACATCAGCACAATCACACAGACTGAGACGATCAGACATGCAAGTTCTAATCAACATTCGACATCTACAAGCTGCGACCACGACAGCAAGAGGCCGCAAGCTGCTGATGCGCAACATACCAACAAGTCACACAAATTGCATTCAAACACCCGAAGTCCGAATCATGTCTATATATGTATGTACGCATCAACACGCCAGCAGCATTAAACGTCTGGGGATGACAAGCCTGCAAGCCCGGAAAAAGACCAAATCAAACTCTCCTAACATGGACCCATTTTTGTCCATCTAGGGACCCCCGCCCCACAAAACGAGCCACACCAACGACGACTCCCTCCAAGGGGCTCCGAGGCTCCAGACGTCCGCGGCAGTGGAGTGGCCCTCGCCGAACAAAATCTCCGGGGCCATGTAGTCCAAGGTGCCGCAGAAGGTCCGCCGCGGCCGGTCCTGCCACACAGCAGCCCGAGCCGGGCTTCGGTTGAGCAGTGCCGAGCGGTTCGGAGCCGGGCGCAGGCGCTTCGCTTTCGTAGGGCTTCAGGATTGAGAGATTTGGAAGGGAAGGGAAAAATGTGGAAGAGAAACAATAGCGTCAGTTGCGAGAGCCCTTGCCCCCGAGGCCAAGCAAGTTTGGGGAAACCAACAACAACAGAAGGCAACCACTCCTTTTTCTGACCTGGGATTTCCAGTTGACCCCCAAATTCGAGAAAAGAAAGGATATTGCTTTCTCACAATGGGACATGAAACGCCAACATTGCCAAAAGGAAATATATTCAACATTGCCAACGAGGCGCCGACATATTTCGCCTACATGCTTACCACGGCTGCAGGGGTCTTGGTACCAGTAGCCAACTCTGGAGGCCAACAAACACAACACAAACACCGCAGGGCTTGCCCCTGGGAGATGTAGATATGCGGTCCCTAACTTCCCGCAAGCAGATCGGGCGGCGAGCGTGAGAACTGTCCGGTGAAGCTTGGGGAGTCCCCATAGACTGTTGGCAATCACTTTGACTGAACCTCATAGGTATGCAGGTATATATATGTATATATTAATATATACATTATATATGTATATATACATATATATATATGAGGAGCGGACAAAACACCTTACTTGGCCCTAGTACTTTTTCGAACGTTATCGTTTTTGGGGGAGACCTTATCGTTTTACAGTCTTTTCGATCTTTGGCAGGTCCGGATCGAAAACCGCAACTTTGTAGTACAAGTCTAGTACGCGAAGTACACTTCCGTAGCTCCAGCCCGAAAATCGCAACTTTGTGGTACAAGTCTAGTACGCGAAATACACTTCCGCAGCTCCAGCTTGAAAATCGCAACTTTGTAGTACACGTCTAGTACGCGAAGTACACTTCCGCATCTCCAGATCGAAAATCGCAACTTTGTAGTACAAGCCTAGTACGCGAAGTACGCTTCCGCAGCTCAGCTCGAAAATCGCAACTTTGTAGTAAAAGAATAGTACGCGAAGTACACTTCCGCAGCTCCAGCTCGAAAATCGCATCTTTGTAGTACAAGTCTAGTACGCGAAGTACACTTCCGCAGCTCCAGCTTGAAAATCGCAACTGTGTAGTACAAGTCTAGTACGCGAAGTACACTTCCGCATCTCCAGCTCGAAAACCGCAACTTTGTAGTAAAAGAATAGTACGCGAAGTACACTTCCGCAGCTCCAGCTCGAAAATCGCAACTTTTTAGTACAAGTCTAGTACGCGAAGTACACTTCCGCAGCTCCAGCGTGAAAACCGCAACTTTGTAGTACAAATCTAGTACGCCAAGTACACTTCCGCATCTCCAGCTCGAAAATCACAACTTTGTAGTACAAGTCTAATACACAAAATACACTTCCGCAGCTCCAGCTTGAAAATCGCAACTTTGTAGTACAAATCTAGTACGCGAAGTACACTTCCGCAGCTCCAGCTCGAAAATCGCAACTTTGTAGTACAAGTCCAGTACGCGAAGTACACTTCCGCAGCTCCAGCTCGAAAATCGCAACTTTGTAGTACAAGTCTAGTACGCGAAGTACACTTCCGCAGCTCCAGCTCGAAAATCGCAACTTTGTAGTACAAGTCTAGTACGCGAAGTACACTTCCGCATCTCCAGCTCGAAAATCGCAACTTTGTAGTACAAGTCTAGTACGCGAAGTACACTTCCGCAGCTCCAGCTCGAAAATCGCAACTTTGTAGTACAAGTCTAGTACGCGAAGTACACTTCCGCATCTCCAGCTCGAAAATCGCAACTTGTAGTAGCAAGTCCACGCGAAGTACGCGCTCGAAGTCACTTCTTCCGCAGCTCCAGCTCGAAACTCGCAACTTTGTAGTACAAGACTAGTACGCGAAATACACTTCCGCAGCTCCAGCTCGTAAATCGCAACTTTGTAGTACAAGTCTAGTACGCGCAGTACACTTCCGCATCTCCAGCTCGAAAATCGCAACTTTGTAGTACAAGTCTAGTACGCGAAGTACACTTCCGCAGCTCAGCTTGAAATCGCAACTGTGTAGTACAAGTCTAGTACGCGAAGTACACTTCCGCATCTCCAGCTCGAAAATCGCAACTTTGTAGTACGAGTCAAGTACGCGAAATACACTTCCGCAGCTCCAGCTCGAAAATCGCAACTTCTCAATACAAGTGTCGTATTTACGAAGCACACCTTGGCAGCCCCAGCTCGAAAGTGGCGACTCGCCTTCTCGTTTTACGGTGGCCACGCAAGGGTCCCACCCTAACTAAGGTACAACTGCAGGGATTATTATAGAGCCGTGTGTTAGCTAAGGGTTATCGTTTTTGGGGGAGACCTTATCGTTTTCCATGGTTTTGGCATGTGTTATGTAAAAACGTACCCCGCCTTGATAAAGTGGTCTTCGTGTGTTTTGTCCGTGGCTCATATATATCTATATATCTAGCTAGCTATCTAATTATGTACACCCACAGTTCGCTCGCAGACGGCACCTCCAGCTCGGCGCACCAGCCGAAGTCGCAGATCTTGGGGCAGCTACCTGGGCCCAATGCTCCACGTTCAGAGAGGTCGTTTTTCACCTACACGTCCTAACCACATGTGGGCAAACGCCCGACGGGTTGTTCCAATAGTTGTAATGTCAAAAGGCCTTTCTATCAAGAGCAACCTACTAGAACAGCCAATGGGCTTTTTAGCCGCTACTCATGAGTGCATGGATTGAGCTGATGCCATGCCAAACATTGCAACGGTTGTGGGGAATGGCCAACATGGTTCCCTCATGTACGGGTTATTTATCAAATCAGTATGCAACCCTGAACATGAATTCCAAGGGACTTGGACATCACACGAACATCACCACAGTAGCGTCTTTGTTGCGAACGCTTTGTCACGGTCAGGCAAACCACATTGTATGGATGAACAGGAATGATTTCTAGGTTGCAGCCAGTGACTTGCTGAAGTATGATTGCCCTAAATGCTGTTCGGCAATAGCTTGCTTTGCGTTCAGTATTCCGCATATATCCCCCAAAACAACCCCGCCCAGAAACAAGCCGTGGGATATTTCATGCGGAAGCCGTGCGATCGGAGTGGCCCACCAGAAGGATGTTCTCCGGCTTCAGGTCGCGGTGGATGCACTTGCCTTGGCCGTACGGCCCAGCAAGGTGTGCCCCCTCGAGAAGGGGTTTGAATCCGAATCCAAACCAACACCCGAACCAGCAAGTAGTGGCCAAACAACAACCACCCAAACCACCAACTAGTCGCTACCTGAGCTCAGGTTCTCAGAAGCTTCCAAGGGGATTCTGGGCCGAGTATTCTGTTGGACAAATCGAAGCGAAATTGAGAGAGCCATCTGAGAGGTCTGCTTCTTGAGGGTCTCCGGAAATCAGCGTTCGAAGACACACCTCACCTTCAACCAGTTCCATGGTTGCCATTCGGCCCAGCTGACTTTGGGAGTGAGTGGAGTGGCCAAACAACGTCTGATATTCACATTGCCACTAAACTGGTCTTCCCAAAAAGTTACACAGTTTAAGTTTAAGATGCAGAACACGGAGAGTGAGAGGGTGGTCCTTTTGCTTCTTGGGACCAGTCTGGCTTCGCTTCTTCTGCAGCCCTCTGGCTTTCTCTTTTTCGAGTGCCCTTCTAGGGATAGCTTTAAGGTTCTGTCTATAGGACTAGGACGCCCAACATGGCAAACCGGCTTTCCCGGCGGTTTCTATTCAACACCAGACAAACAAAGGTATGATATGACAAACAAACAAACCAACAAACAAACAAACAAACAAAAGCGACGCACCGAATTAAACCAGAAACCATACCAAAAAAAGGAGAAGCCAATCTTCGGTTCCCTGATCCGAGACTTCCAGGGCCAGGCGGCATTGGTGGAGGTGCTTCACGCCCTCCGCCACCTGTCCGAACAAAGTGGCGGCCATGGGCTCCGGCACCCGGCGCTGGGGATACCGCAGCAGCAAATCCACCAAGCCGCTGTCCGCCAGCTCCTCATTTGACCAAGTCTTTCGTTCGGAACGGAGGAGACCAAGGCCCAAGGCCTCATTCGGGTGTGGCTCAAAATTAAAGAGCTAGGGTTACGCAGGTTTAGCCTTTGGTTCCATTTGCCAAGGTGCTATTTTGGTACATTTTTTGAGCCACTGCCATTTGAGGCCTTTGGGATCCTTTGGGCTTTGGTCAGGGTCTCGGGCTCCTAGGGAAATTTCAAGGGCTCCCTCCACTCTTGAACTGCAAACAGGCACTTGCTTGCTGGTGCGGTACGTAGGGAATGAGACCTGGAATAAACCCGGGGATTCCCGAAGAAAGGAAACCACCAGTGGGATGGTTTACAGGGGTCATTCCATTTCTCATTCAGTCTCATTCCCTGCCTATCGCACCGGAGCAAGCAAATGAATGGCATAAAACAAATTTCTAAACCAGTGGACAAAAAACATCTATGATCCAACCTGCTTAGTGGATGACACAAACTCCGACTGTGGAATGCCGTTCCTCTCACGTTGCCATGGCACCTGTGCGAGGGCTGGGTAGCGGGCTATTGCGTGGGCTTTCCCTTCAAAACCACAAACAGTGGATACACCCCACACACCCAATCTTACTGGGACAAGATTCAGATGGGACAATCACATCTCCGTAAAAGTAAACGACATTTAAAAACCTCGAGAAAAGGGTTGCGATATGGAGGTCACAACAGCCACTCCCAACTCTCGTTGCCGTTCCTAATATTTCGCCTTCAAACATCACTGGACCAAAGGGGAACTCACTTTGACTCGGGTTCCCCAAGGGTGATGTTGAAACCACCCCGTTTTGAGAAAATCCACGTTGACCCCTGTACATCCCCGTTTTGGCAGTCCATGAGCAAGTAGAAGTGCGTGTCATCCTCCACACACTGAAGCAAGCGCAGCACGTTGCGGTGCAGGATGGAGCCCTGAACCTTGATTTCCTCAGCTCTGGCTGCCTTTAGCACCTGCCGTGCTTGGGGTACAGCGACCCACGCGCAGGAAACGGCACAAACAGAGGCTGAAACACCGGCCTACCGGTGGGACAGCCGACCCAAGGGAAAGGGGTGCGAGTGCACCTGCCGCTTTTTTTTGATTTTCTCACACCCCAACTGCGTGGTGCGATGGGTGCATTTTGTCAATTCTCGGTTGGGCCCGAAAGGCTCAGGGCATACCATTGAACAAACGCGGGTGGCCGTTGCCGAGTGGCCCAAAAGGCTCATAGGATATCTCTGGGCCAACAGGAGCCTGGGTGGGTCCAAAAGGAAGGCCATTGAATGGAAGATGGAGATCTGCTGCTTAACACTTCTACGCAATACTTCAGAGTTTTTAACACCCCCCGCAAAGCTTCGAACTTGGCGTATGCAACACACGCGGCTGTCTTTTTTTTGGGTAGGGGTTGGTTTAATGGGAAACCAATCAGCCCCAAAAGAAGATGAAAGAGCCCACAGCCGGGAGTGTAAAGTTGCAAAGAGCCATGTTGGCTCGACGTTTGCCGGTCAAAGGTGCTTCAACCAAACGCTGACGCATCTACTGACAGTGGGTAGCAACTTCTCCAAAGATCGCAAGGCACATCACGCCAGAATGCTAGCGGGCCTAGAATCCGGAAGAGGGCAACCAAAGTGGAAATGGAAGCAACGGCACTAGGTGCTGCTGACTGGCATCCTATTGTCATCCCACAGATGTGGTGCTTTCCGAAATCTCCGTGTGGATGATGAAGTCACACGTGCGTCCGAGTTGCCCTTCTGATCTGCGGCATCATGCGCCTGGTCTCCAGAGGATGCTTTTCCTGACCAGACAATGCGAGGCAATTGTGTGTCCTTTTGGGGCGTCCCTTCTGGGACGGTCTTAGCAGGAGAAAGCATTGGTATCGGCATGTTTTCGGGTTGCCCGCCGGAGACAGACCCAAAGGCAGCGTCGAATGCCGGATCCATGGCGAGCCATCTCTCAACTCATTCCGCGAAGTCCGGAATGCAGGATAGAGACTAGATTATAATATTTGTATATGCAATACCATGCATAGGTATACATTATGTAGAACGGACAAGGGTTGGTCATTGCTTTGAAGGGTATTCGCGTTGGGCCCATCTCGAACGGACACCAAAACGACTTTCTGGGGTGCGACAACCTACAAGTGGCGCCAACCAAGCAAATAGCGGTGTTCAAAAGGGGGTTTCCTTTGGGTAGCTTTTCAAGGAACACCAGAAGAAAGCCATTCAGTTTCTGGGACTCCCCCATCCCTTTTGAAACAAGCCCTCCCCAATCAGAAAAAAAACACAGGGACACTCAAAGGATCCTAAGCCTTCGGTTGGGACTCCCTGTGGAACTCAGCCGGATACAACTTCAGGTTCCAACCCATCTCGCCACACATGGCTAACCACAGTGTCCAAGGATACGAACCTAACTCCCAGACTGCCAGTCACATTTCGAGGTTCAAAAGCTGACCTCGGGTTTTACGAAAAATAAACTTGTCATGGCTAATCACACTTGGGGCGTTCAACGCTGACCGGGGAGTTTTCACGAAGCCCAGAGCCCCGGAGCCTCTAGCCCAAGAACACACGATTTGAGGCCAAGGCCCTCATATTTCGGGTCTTTGACTAGGGAGCTGAGCTCGATTTGTCAAAAAAGCCGGCGGCGCCAGGATCTTCACGGCGACCTCTTGGCTGGTCTGGCGGTTTCGAAGGCGGCAAACCCGCGCCACCGAGCCCTTGCCTGCGACGCTTCACGTCGTTGACTCGTCGACTCGTTTCACGGCGGGCGTTTGGCGTTCGGAGCCGGACCAAACGAAATCAACGGTGATCTCACCTTCTTGGGTCTGTAAAAGTGGGCGCCAAAAAGGGAAAGGTTGGGAACAAGTTGGTTTCGAAGAAGTGAGTATTGGGGGCGCTCCTTTGATAAATGGTTTCAATCAAAAGGGATCCCTCTGAGTTGTGTGGTCCTTGTGACTCCCTTATTCGGGTGAAAAAACCTTCGAGGTGCTTGAGGAAATAGAGGGGTCGCATTGCCTACGAGTCGCATTGACTGCAAACCTTTTGGGCGCAGGTCGGCTCAGCCTGGTTTGTTCCTCAGCGTGCTTTGTTCCTTTCGTGGCATTGAGGTCTACTTGTCCACCAACCAACGGAACTGACAGCTGATGCGTCCATGTAGAACATGAGGAGACTGTATGATAGAAATTGAAAACGTCAGCATATGACAACACTGCCCTGAAGCAAATGGCGGGACAATGGCATAGTTTGGTTGGTTTTGAAGAGGGAGCCAGAACAAAACACCAACTTGGGGTATTTAAAACACACAAGCACAAGCACAAGCACAAGCACAAGCACAAGCACACACACACACAAACACACGCACACGCACACGCACACGCACACGCACACGCACACGCACAAGCACAAGCACAAGCACAAGCACAAGCACACACACACACACACACACACACACGCAACACACGCACGCACACGCACGCACACGCGCACACACACACACACACGCACACACACACAGGCACACACAGGCACACACGCACACACACACACACACCCACACGCACCCACACGCACACACACACCCACACACACACACACACACACGCAAACACACGCACACACACGCACACACACACACACGCACACACACACACACACGCACACACACACGCACACGCACGCACACGCACGCACACGCACACGCACGCACAAACAAACACAAACACAAACACAAACACAAACACAAACACAAACACAAACACACACACACACACACACACACGCGCACACACACACACACCCACCCACCCACCCACCCA